CACTGCTCATCGCTCATTTTCCACTCACAGTCCAATTTACTGATTTTTTCCTACCTTCTTTTCTTTAGTTATACTTTGCAAATTTGTTTAGTAAATAATTTTAATCTTGCACAGTGTCAGCAACAACATTTTCAATTAAAGCATTTTATATTAGGCCTAGTTATTCGTTTTTTCTCTCTCAGCTGTTGTTGGTAATATATGTCTGAGTTTATTTTATAAAATAAAAGACTATGTATATTTCATCGCTGTCCAATGAAAAACATGTATCTCCATTCTTTTCTGCATCATTTGAGCTCAGCTGCTGTCCTTTACATTGTGTGAAAATTTTATGATGATTGGACCAATAGAAACGCTCCAAAATTGCTTAGAATAAAAACATTTTCCATTAAGTTACATTGAAACTAAAGAGGGTTTTTGCCCTCTCCTGTAAAGTTACTATTGTGGAGATTTTTGTTTTTCGTTGGACAGCGATGATTTAAAATCTACTTGAGGAGATTAAAAACTAGGCAGAGCTTGTATGCAGGACAGTAATCTGGGAGGTCCAAGGGTGGATCAGAAGTGGCAGAAAGTCAGCGGGGTCCCGACCTTATCAAGCCAGCTGACCGATATATGCTCGCCGTCTGGGTATCAACGTTAAAACTGCTGAATCTGAACTGCTCAGTCTATTAATCAGAACATCAATGTCTATAAAAACTCTAGAAACCTTCATTATACGACCAAAGAATGACACCCAGCTTATTCTAACACTGCGTCCCTTTACACACATGCAAACTGAAATGAATAACACACTCCAGATTTACAGGTTTTGACAAGTTGACACAAACGTGCTACCTGCACACATGAGTCAGGACGCTGCACAGCAATCGAGGGTCAGCAGGGCCTCATCCGAAACAACTTTACAGCTCTACAACTTCCCATTACATGGCACAACTTCCTGTGGAAGCGGGCCGCTGTAGGTGGACCTTCCTTTAAACACGCTCTTAGAGGAAGGCAGGTCAGAGGTCGACCAAGTGTGTTTACACCAGAACCGTGCGCTGCTATGTTATCCCATTCTCAGAGCGCTCCTCCAACGCTTTTATGAGAAACAATCTTTCAGTGTTTATATTCCCGTAGAGAAGAAACCTCCGGAGCAACATTTTTGGTGAGACAGAGTTACTTGTCAACGGCTCCTGAGCAGCGAGTGAGAAGTGCATGCAGACCGAAACAGTGTGGTTCAAAAGATACAGTACTGTGTAAAAGTCCGAGACCACCCTCCACTTATTATAGTCAGTCAAAACAGCCATTATGCACAAGTCATTGATTTTTCAGGAGATATTTTGGAGGTGATTACACTCAGAGAACACTGACTGGGGTGGTGCCCACAAGGTTATGTCATCAGTACCTTTAGTTAGAGAGTGTAATTGTACTTTAATACATCACAATTATTTTTTAGTTGTATTGACTCAACTCACCCTCAATGCACTCCAGGCTTTTCATTTTTGTTGTGTGTGAGCATCTATGCTGGCTTTTTTGTTTGTCACTGTCTCTCTTCTGGTCTCTCTCTTCACAGGTGTACCTGGTCTGCAATCAGTCATGTAAGGAGGACCTCAAACCAATCAGAGGTCTGGCTAGTATAGCTAGGGGAGGAGCCTATGCTTTAAAAGAGACCTTCAAGATGGCTGAAGATATGGGGGTTGATGGGTCTGCTGTGGTTTGAGGGTTTTTGGAGTTTGAGGGTTTTTGGAGTTTGAGGGTTTTTGGAGTTTGAGGGTTTTTGGAGTTTGAGGGTTTTTGGAGTTTGAGGGTTTTTGAGTATCTTGGTTTTGAGTATCTGGGTTTTGAGTATCTTGGTTTTGAGTATCTGGGTTTTGAGTATCTTGGTTTTGAGTATCTTTTTGTTTCAGGTATATTACTGGTGCTTCTTAACTTAGTTTTAAGACTTTAACTCTTGTGATGGGGAAGTGCTTTAGATTTGGTATTTTACCTGCACACATTTTAACTTTGTTTTACAAATTGTTTGATTATGTGTACCATCTGGGGTTTCAAACACGTAAGAAGGGCACCTATACATTCTCACCATGTAGAAGTCTACTCTGTCTAGTTCCCTTGGTCAGTGGGCCACATGTACTTCCAATTACTGGCCAGGAAAGTGTAGAGTAGTTGGCTTCCGTTTCCTTTTTTAAGTTAGCTAAGCACTTTGTCTCAGAGTAGGTGAGTGTGGTAGGTTTTGTTCTCTTCTTTGGTGCTGTTCACAGTTTGACTCCTCCAGTGTGGTTCTAGGTCTCACAGCACACCTTTTTATTGTGGCTGGTTTTAATAAAATGGCTTCAAAAACTCTATCGGTCTGTTCCTCCAGCTTTTAGTCCATCAGCATCAGTTCCATCTTTCAGTGCCCTGTGTTACTGATTCCACAGGGCCCTAGACAAAACACTGGGTCATAATTTTATTGTTCTGTTTTAAAACCATATAAAAAGGTACACCAAGATGCTTTTCACCTGGGGGGAAAAATGTATTTAAAGTGCACAGTTGGACCTCAAAACTGCTGTTGTACCTTTTTGAGGGTACCTTTTAAATTGTTTGTACCTAGACAAGTCAAAAATGATTAACAATTATTCATATTGACTTGCACAAGGAGGGAGAAAGTCAAAGGCAAAGAGGTAAAAAAAGGAGCTTCCGAAACTGGAGTTCAAAAACATGATTAATATCTGCAGAGAAAGAAGAAAGACCTGGTAGACACCAACACTGTCCCCATCAGGATAAAAGCACTTAAAGGGAACTGCCAACTATTTTTCAAAAACTCTGCAAAATTAAATGGTTAAGATGTAAACAAACGCATTCAGAGTGGTTTGGTGTGAAATGCTCTGTTCTAGAGTCTGAATTGTTCACAGTGGTGGTGATAGGAACCAGACGTCCACCTCTAAAAGCTCCCTCAAAGAAAGTTATTAAATGAAATGGCTGTGAATGCAGTGCCTGATGTCTGAGACACTGTTTTATGCTTTTGGTTTAAAATGTATTTTAATCTATTCATGGCAGAGGCACCCATGCAAGGTGCTGTGTTGCAAAATAGTCCCCAAAGACAACTTATTTTTTTCAGATTAACTGCTATTTTACCATCCTCAACAATCCAAAAAACTCAGATACATGTAGGTTCACTGGTGGCTTTGGATAGTAAATAAAATATTATAAATATTGGCTATTTTTGTGTTGTAGACATGGAGACCCCTGGTTCCTATCAAAACCACTGTAAAGAAATCTGTAAGTTTCTCTACAATGTACCATTTCTCCTCAAACTACTATGAATGACTCCACTGTGAGAAGACGACTCAGCGCTGTGGGTCTGAAAGGATGTGTAGCTGTCAAGAAGAACCTCACTGAGAAAAGGAGACGGACACATCAAACAAAGAAGCTGAACAATGGACTGACCACCCCAGAGTCCAGACCTCAACACCACTGAATGTGTTTGATTACTTCAGAAAATGATCAACCAGCTTCTAAGACTGAACTTTGGAGGTGTGTCTGCAGATTCTTTGAGGGACTGAAAGTGAGTCTCCTGAAAAGAATGGAAGCTGGAATAAAGGTGAAGAGAGACACACTGAATATTGAAAAATGTGGTATATTCAGATGTTGAAGTTTTCTGATTCCTTCCTGTCCCTGAAAAATGAATAACTTGTACTTATTGGCTGTTTTGACTGGAAATTAAATAATAAATGAAAGGTGACTTTTGCTCAGTGCTGTACTGCAGCACAGCTGTTGTGTGCTGGAGAGAAGCTCACAGATATGAAAAGCTTTTAAATGAGTATTTTCCTCAGTTATCAGCTGGTATCAGTCAGCAGTGAGAACCGAGCTGAAATTCTACAAAGTGCATTATTATAGAAATATGCACATCTATTCTATGAACGCTGTTCCATAGTGTGTATCATACTGACACGCAAACACACACACACACACACACACGATCTCAGAGCTTCATGCTTGGCTATCTTTCCTGGACAGTGTCAGGAGCAAAACCCATATGTCATACAATATGATGCCCTGTCAAGCGTGCAGTTGAGTGTATTTGACAGAAAAACAATTTGATTTTGGGAGTGGGGCACTTTCCAGCTGACTGCATCGGCAGCTGAGTAGCTCAGCAGTGACCCGTGTGTGTGTGTGTGCGGGGATATATGCGCGTGTGTGTGTGTGTGGTCAGGGTGCAGGCTGGCCGCAGAGGGATGGTCAGGGGCGACTCTCTCAGCTGCTGTGCATTGTTGCTGCAGACACACAATGCACCCAACACAGTCCTCCAGCTGACCCCCTGGCCTCTCTCTCTCCCTCCCTCCCTCCCTCTCACTCTCTCTCTCTCTCTCTCTCTCTGTTTCTCTCTTTCCTCTTTAACTATCTCTCCCTGTAGCTCTCTCTCTTCTCTGTATTAGTATCTGTAGCCATAAACCCATTGTCTCTCTCTTTCTCTCTCTCTCCTGTTTATTAATTCCTATAACAATAACCTTATACTCTGTCTTTCACTTGTCTCTCTCTTTCTTTCATTCTTTCTCTCTCTTCTCTTTATCTATTCATATAGTAATAACCTCTCTCTCTCTCTCTCTCTCTCTCTCTCTCTCTCTCTCTCTCTCTCTCTCTCTCTCTCTCTCTCTCTCTCTCTCTCTCTCTCTCTCTCTCTCTCTCTCTCTCTCTCTCTCTCTCTCTCTCTCTCTCTCTCTCTGTGCCACTCGCTCTGCCTACAGGGTGAGGGTCCTGACTGAGCACCCAACCTTTGCTCTTCATGTTTTGCGATTGGCTGATAGGATGTTCTGCTGGACCGGAAGACGGCCTTTTATTGGCTGACACTCACACGTATCCATGGAAACTGCTTGGCCGTTGACCGCTATTAGAGGAGTCATGATGCTGATTGGCTGTGCACTTTTCAAGGCATCGTAAACTGCCACATAATTGATTTGTTTACCCCAGTACGTTGTCCTGGTGGGACGGGGCGCGATGGGAGGAAGTGATAAATAGGGAAAAAACAATAATAAATAGGCTCTGACCTACTAACAGGCCGACGGAGACGAGCACTTGTCTTCGGACCACAGACCCATCGGTGAACAGCAGAATCCTGAGAGAGGGAGAAGAGAGGAGGACAGACATTAGCATCCCGAAATAAAAACACGGGACATTCACTCATAAACAGGGACCTTCTGTGAAAAGGAAGAGGAGCGTGTGTGTGTGTGTGTGTGTTCACCTGCATGTAAAGAGCTTTGTTCTAATCTTTATGGTAATAGAGTCTGGCGGCCACTTGGCTGCAGGCAGAGCAGATCAGGCATTAATAGAAAGTAAATGTGTTTGTGGAGAAAAGGAAAGAGTCACTTGAAACAGGACTAATTTATTCCTTATTGAGTTGAGTGAGTGCATTCGCAGAGCTGGCAGCCACTCAGCCACTGCCACACACACATCAACATCCAAGGTACGATATATAGGGGGTCCTGGGGGGTCTAGGACCCCCTAATAAACCTCTTGGACCCCAGGAATGTCTCAAAATCAAAATTCTGTGGGTCCTTAAAAATAAATTTATTATGAAGTTATGCTGTTTGTTAGGGATAAAATTGGGATTCTTAACTAGAGATGCAGCTCTGCTCTGCCTCAGGGTAAATCTGAAAACTCGCCCAGTTTCCCAAGAGTTTGGCGTAAAGAGTGTTTCTCACTTCTCACACTGAAGACAGAAAAGGAGACGAAGAAGATCTCAGTTAATGTGCGGAAGAGCAAATTATGTAGTTATGTTATAACTGAAGTTCACCTCCTCGCCTTCCGTTACAGTGACAACGGGTTTGCAACCCCCACAGCCACCCCATCTCCTCTCTGTTCCTCAGCCCTACATCAGTCCTGCTACAGCTATGAGGGGTCTGGCCTTACAGCTAGCTACAGGCAGAAGCTGCCCAGAACTCCAGCCCAAGTTCCTCAGAGTCCCACCCCGCTCCCTCAATCCGTCTTCCCTCATACTACCACCGCCATGTTGAATGCATGGCCTGAACTCACAAAACTAGAAAAGAGACTTTCCTGAAGAACAATTGGGTAACACTTTACTGTAGGGTGCTGTTCATAAGGCTACATGACACCTATATAAGGTTGTTATTACAACTGACATAGCCCTACATAACTGTTTATGAATGCTTATTACAACAGGCATCATCTGTCATAAAGGCTACTTTAGCTGACTTTGATAAAAATTGGCAAATGTAACCTTTATAGCGAGTGACGCTTATTGGAACAAGCATTTATAAACAGTTACGTAGGGTTAGGTCAGTTGTAATGACAACCTTATGTAAGTGTCATGTAGCCTTATGAACAGTACCCTACAGTAAAGTGTTACCAACAATTGTTCAACCGAGTTGAACAGCTGCCCATCCTGTGCGTTCTGATGCTGCTGCCTCTTCTGCCTTGATCCGATGCCACCGCTCGCCGTGCAAACCTCACCTTCACAACCTGACCCCACTGATGCTGCTGCTGCATGAACTAAACTAATCAAATTAATCATTTGCTCCACCTGTTTTCCCTGTTTTTGTACTATAATACTTTATACTAACAATGTTTACTATCCGGTGTCGACCAGAGGAGGATGGGTTCCCCTTCTGAGTCTTGGTTCCTCTCAAGGTTTCTTCCTGTTTCTCTTAGGGAGTTTTTCCTTGCCACTGTCGCCACTGGCGACGCTCATGGGGGCTCGGACCCGGACTTCTTTTTGTAATGCTCATTTCCTTGTAAAGCTGCTTTGTGACAACACCTGTTGTAAAAAGCGCTATATAAATAAACTTTACTTGCTTCAACCAAACATTTTGTTGCCATTGAAGCATCAGCATCACTATGTCAAGTGAGTTAGCCGCCAGCCAACACTGGAGTAGCCAGCCAGCATGGGACCCCCCCAAATACCAGGGTGTATTTCACACACTGTCAATATCTACACCTCAATACAGGCATAAACACCAACGACAAGGAGCATCAGGTCATTGGACCCCTTATAACTAAAGTTCAGGGGGCAATGCTCCTCCAATCCTATCACAAAGCTTGAGATATGCCATGATAGTGAAACTGCAGAGAACAGTCTGAAACAGATATGCAGCCACAGGTCAGCCTGGCTCACTGGCTGAAATGGGGAAAGAATATTCATTATTATTTTATTAGATTAGATTAGAATTATTAGATTATTAAGGTGCATTTTTTGGATAATTATATTTCTATTTGTTTCCTGTGAGTGCTGTCATTGTATTTATTCTAAGAAACCTGACAGTTTATTTTATAAGTTTGCTATGTTGCTGCTTCTAAAGATCTCAGCTGTCTAACTCATTTACGCCGGAACTACATGCTACAGACGCCAGCTGTGCTGCTTTGTCAACTAGCTAGCTGTGTTAAATCACTGAAGCTGCCAAACCGCTTAGCCTATCAATCCACACCGCATCCACATCTCACAACAGACTCACTCTGATCTTACTGTAACATCAATGTAGCAATTCTAAACCTGCACATATAGATTGACATTTTGTATATCTTCTATCCATACCTTGCATAATCTGTAATATATATATATATATATATATATATATATATATATATATATATATATATATATATATATATATATCAGTATTCTATCCCCTGTGTACGCTGCATCTCCTAATGTAAATGTGATGTGACAATAATATATATATATATACACATATATTGCAGTTGTCGGAGGAAAACCTCCAAAATGGTAACTTTACAGGAGAAGGAAAAAACATACTTTACTTTTAATGTAAGTCAGTGGAACCAGAATTTTTTCCAAGTCATTTTGGGCCGTTTCTTCTGGTCCATTCATCATGAGATTTACATACAATGTAAAGATCAACAGGCACTTTCAAATTATGTCAAAAACTGGAAAACGTCAAAAATGGAGGTTTTCTTCTAACAACGGTGACATATATACATATATATATATATATATATATATATATATATATAACCTATGTTGGCAACTTCATCTTTCTTATATGCATCAAACAACACCAAATGTCTGAACGTCGATCTGCTTTTCTTCTCACTTTCACACTCCTCTGTCTCATGTTCATATTCATAAACGACACACATGCACACGCTCACGCAACGCACAGAGCTCCATATATTACTATTTAAAAAGGTCACCATTTTCTCTGGCTAAGCGCCCCGTGCCTATTGATAATTTTATGCATAAACAAATGGCAAATTTGTGCCACATAAATATGTATTAGCAATTAATAATGTCCCTCGTCTGCGGCAATGCCAGGTGCATGCAAAATCGCCACAGCCGCGCCGCCAGGGCTGGTGCCTTTGTTTTCCCGCTGGTCTCTCTCAGGTCCTCTACAATGGGCAAACAATGGGCACCAGGAGCTGGGCACCGGGCGCTGGAAAAAGCCCCTGGCACCCGGAGAACGCCACCGTCGACCTGGGCCGTGCCAACCTACTGCGGGCAGCATTAGATGGGCTGAGGGGCAGCAGTACAAAGAGAGGTTTAAAGGGCCATTTATGTGCTTTAAAAGAGTCTTATTTGGGCTGGCAGAGCAGAGCAGCAGACTGAGGTAGGGGAATGTGTGGGGACAATGCTGTGCAAAAGTCAGAGACCCCCTTTTATTTATTTAATTTTTAATCAGAGCTGCAGTTAAGTACAGGTCATTCGTTTTTCAGGATCAATAGAGCAAAAAGCATTTAACAGATCAGCCTCAAAAACTAAATCTAATCTCAGCTGTTTGAGTGTTCAGTGTTCAGTGAGTCACTCTTTCCCTTTATTCCAGCTTCCATTCTTTTCAGGAGACTCACTTTCAGTTCCTCAAAGAATCTGCAGACACACCTCCAAAGTTCAGTCTGAGAAGCTGGTTGATCATTTTCTGAAGTAATCAAACACATTCAGTGGTGTTGAGGTCTGGACTCTGGGGTGGTCAGTCCGTTGTTCAGCTTCTTTGTTTGATGTGTCCGTCTCCTTTTCTCAGTGAGGTTCTTCTTGATCAGCTACACATCCTTTCAGACCCACAGCGCAGAGTCGTCTTCTCACAGTGGAAGGATGGACAGAAACACCAGTGGATGTTTTCAGATCTGAAGCAGCTTGATTTTCTCCTCTCTCTCAGAGGTGAAAGCTTTAAGTGCTGTTTATCTGATGGGGGCAGTTTGGATGTCGACCAGCTCTTCCAGGTGGTTGTTAGGGGCCACATTTTCTCTGTAGCTTTTAACCCTCTTGTTATAATCAGCTGTAAGGAACAGCAATAATGTTCCCAGGTCAAACTGACCTGATGCACACTTAACCAGCCGGAAGAAGTTAAAAATATATTTTTCTCCATAAGCATTATCGTTAGCTCAATTAATATCAATTTAATCAATATTCAGTGAGCTTTTTCACCCATTACAGGTCATAGTACATTAGTGAAGACTAGACATTCAACATATTTGTTTTATTTATTATTATTTAAACCTTTTTAACATTTCTGACATTTTTTATGTCATGGCCATGCTGAGTAATATAAACAAAATGCCTCTTCTGTTCCGGGTCAAACTGACCCTTTTAGTTCATATCGCACTAAATGAGGCATAAGTCCAGCAGAAAAGGTTTCATGCTCCAAAAATTATTAAATATATTTTTACTGTTGAAACAGGTCAATGTGACCTGCAACATAACAGGAGGGTTAATATATATATATATATATATATATATATATATTTAACTTCAGTTTTGGAAACCCCTAGATTAGATTATATTATATCTAATCACCTCAAAAACGGGCAACTTGTGCTTAACCCCTTAAACGGCACCTTTAGCAGTAAAAAAAAAAATTATATATATATATATATATATATGTATATAATTTTTTTTTGCATACACTGTGGACATCGACACCCCTGGTTCCCATCACCACTATTATAATGGAATTCCAAATCAGGTATGTTTCTCTATAGTGTACCAATTTATATTAAAAAATGCTCCAACTGGCTTTGTTATGTTACAATCTGACCCCCTTTAACCCTTAAATGGTCAGGGTCCACCAGCAGGTCTAAAGTTTTATTACACACTTCTATAACCTAAGAATAGCTCAACCAGTTTGCACTGCAGTCCATGTAGTTACT